GGGGGTAGGAATCGTCAATTTTGCGAACGGAGCACCGGAGGTGCCCCAAAATGCCGGTGGCACCGGAGTGGCACCGGATTCCAGTGGCACTGGAACCGGGCCGTAATAACAAAGGATCTCATAAGATACAAAAAAAGGAGAAAAAATACATGTAAAACGCAAATGGCTGCGAAGAAGCCCTGGAAATGAGCTACGATATAAGCAAATGACCCCAAGACATAATACATGCCACTATGCAGGCATTAGCAACAATTGTTCATGGCTGTAAGTTTTATGTGAGAATTCCATACATCCCATGGAAACTTGTTAAAGAATCACCAACTAATCCCTTAAATTTTCCAACTGGTTTTCAAAATCCAAATCAACAACGACGTGTAGTAGGTAGAAATAAGAACAGTTTTGCAGCATCATGGTTTGCGGATTCCAGGAATTTCAGAAAACTGCAACAAATAGAATAGAGAAAACGATTCACACCCTGCTATGTGCTGTCAAGAGAACATCAGTTATGTTTTGGGATATGGCTGGCCATTTCTCTGCAGTCGCTAAGCTTCCTCGGAAAAGCAGTTTATATGAAAAGCCTTATTAGAATCTACAACCTTTCCCACTGTCGAGGGAGCATTAGATAGGAAGATCTTGGCAGGAGAAATATTTCGGAAAGAGCGGTTCACAGGAGGCAGCAACGAGGCAGATTGTTTGTCCATCAATAGGAGGCGGCTGCATTTGCTGCAGAGAGAGATTACATGATTGTCATCGAGGAGGTGAGGTGAGTTCATTCATGTAGGAGGGGAAAACTCACCTGCAAACTTTCCTGAACAAGGAATGGTAACTGTAAAGCCACAACTGCAAGTAGGAGTAACACCTTTACGAGTTTTGAATTGTGACACCTTTACGAGTTTCAAATTGTGAAAAGCATAGGTGAAAAGATTCAACGATTACGCAGTGAAAGAAACTTACCAGCAATGAATATAAAGCTGTTTCTGCATTTGACCCTGTAAAATACTGCAGAGCGATACCAGCATGTTCCTGCAATCGACAGGACAGTGAGCTGAGCAATGGTATAAAATTCAATATCAATCAAAGGAAGCTTCACAATTCCTTCTGATGGACAAAAGAAGTGTATGCTGAATTCAGTATCGAAGATCAGCAGAACTAGTGCAAGTTGATACCGTAATGTGTCTATATACTTCGTGCACTGAAACCCCCCTTGAATGTACATAGCTGCCGCCCTACACGTGAAAATTTTAGTACATCAGAAATGAACACCAATGGCCAAACATAATAATAAAATGGGAAACCAGTCAAAAGTTAAAACCAATTGTCCAAAGTCCATATTATGGAAGTACTTCTGAGACATAATGTATAAAGAACCACAGAGACTGTTCATAGCAAGTAAATGTTCACAGCTACACTGTCACTATAAATTGGAACCAGATGGTCATTGCATTTTCAATAATGCCCAGCAACAACAATGTAATTATTTGAACCAAATTCACACAGCCAAATTGCAGCCTGCATTTTTAAAATTTTCAGGTTTTGAAGAAAAAATAAACCTCATCTGGTGAAAAGAAAGCCACAGCATCAGGGTCCACTGAACCAGCTGGATGTATTGATAGAATAGCTCTGAAAACAGAGGGCATGAACAACTCAATCACAGTGACCTTTTCTCTAGAAGCATTTTCATTTGATCCCGATATCAAGTTATTTCGCATATGAAAGTTGTGATTTTTCATCAACTCAACAGAATGTTGATGAGCAGAAGATGGCAATGAAGATGCCCGCTTTAACCAATCCAAGCGCTGGTAAGTGAAAGCTTTCATGTTCGGAGTTGCTTTTTCCAGATGTGACAGAATATCAGATACTGTTCTTAGGCTACTAATATCATCGTGATCACTTGCTGTTGAACTACACCTTTTCTTCATTGGTGATCCCTCATCACAGCCATTCTCCAGGTGAGGGAAAAATCGCCTTTTTTGATCAGTAAATGCTTTTAGAGCTAGCCTAAAACATGTTTGTAAGGAAATATTATTCATCTCAGTAATTTAAAAGAATAGAAAAAAAGAAAAAAAATTGCATATGCATGAGAGCAAGAATTTTGCACACCTGCAGGAAATATCTTCCCTAAACAGGCTAAACTAGAAGCTCTTTTCTTCAGAGAACAACTATACTATTAACTTCTTCATTACATTGTGTCTTAATATAAATAAAATAATCCAAATGATCCTCAATGAGTTGGTTGAGTCCTGTAACTCTGTCCGTACATGAATATTGTACATCCATTGCAAGTAATATACTGTAAATAAAATAATGCATATGATCCTCAATGAGTGATAAATAAACATATCTTTGTTGGCTGAGTCCACATAGGTACTCAGTTCATATGAACTGCAGCTTTTGAAGAAATGAATTTATATCCTACACTCATAAGTACAACAAGAGTATTGTTCAACCATTTTGATATGCACATATTTTATACACTTTTTAAGCATGTTTTGAAAGAGTTTTGAATCCCAATTGAATTTAATATTTACATTTTATTTCAATTTTCCGTTTTATATGTTTTGCAGATATTTTGAGGTCATTTGGACGCATTGAGAATAATTGCAAGAACGGAAAATAAATATAGAAGTTTGGGACAAAATTAAATGGAAGAGATTTGAAGAGAAGAAGGAATTAAATAAATATAAAGAAAAAGACGCCACTGAGATTCGAACTCTGACTTTGGGGCGCAGAATTGAAGCTCCAACCATCGCGCCACAACTGATCATTTGGCAAATTACTGACTGAGAGAAGTTATGTTCTACGCCAATTCGGCCCATCAATTGAGAGAGAAAAATGACAAAACAGCATACGGTGGGGAACGGTGGGGAAGTTTCGAACACGGGTCTCGCATCACGACAACCAGCTGCGTCTCCATGTGCGCTACTGTACATGTGTTGACAATTGGTGCACTGTTTGTATATAATCCGTATATACGGGTTCATCTATAAAAACACCTCCCTTCTCTTCTTGTAAAGAGGTTGGAACCCCCATTTTCTCCCCTTTCTCTATTTCGAAATTTTCTTCCTCCCTCACTAATATCTCACCACTTTCTTCATCCAAACACATAAAAATCACTCCATCTTCATCATCATCTATCATATTTGGAGCTCAAGAACACATCTTCCATTTTTGTAAGATTTTTATGTTTGTAATAAATATTTATTTGTTTAAACTTCAAACTATGAACTTTTAAATTTCATTGGGGTTAGAAGTTGGTGTAATTAATTGTCCATCTTAATAATTTGAATATTTTTAATATGGATTGTTAATTTTATTTTATTTAGATGTTGTATTTAAAAATAAATAAATTTGGAATGTTTGTGATTTTTAATTAAGGGCCCAATCATAAACATAATTGTTACAAGGAATTTGAGCTAAAATTGATATAATCATAAAATAGAACACTTTTTAAATACACAGTAAGCCTTCTCTACCTTTTTTAACCGGGATTGAAGACTTTCGGGTGGACATAATTATTGAGTTGTATTTTTACACCATTAACTTGGGTAAACATACAATAAAATAATTATGGTTGCCGTTGTTACTAAATAATTACTCCAGATTTATCATTAGCGTGTTAAAGTCAGAGTAGTTATTATTTAGGTGAACTGCGAGAGCGTCCCTAAATACTTTTCTGCAACCCCACACATTCTATATAAAAATAAATTGACAATCAAACTTTTATAAAAACATTGGACAATTAATTTACCAACTTCTACCCCTAACTTTTCATCATCAAAAAACTTTGTGTTGTTTGGAACTCCTTTTACACTTTTTATTTTATCTCTAAAACCCAAAAAGACCAAAAACTTTTTACAACTTCTTTCGTAAATTTTTGTTTAAATTAAATTAACTCACGTCTCCCTGAGGTTCGACACTCTACTTACAAGGGTTCTTTTTAGTTATTTTGTCCGTTCTATACTGCAAATCACATTTATCAACGGAAAAATAGATTTCTCACTAATGTCCCACTTGGACTTCACATAAATTAAGGCAAATTTTAAAGTGTGGTTGACCTTCCATTTTTACCCTTGAAAAGATAGTGTGAGAAAGTGTAATGCGTTTAACGGTGATAAATAAACAGGGGTGTGTAGAAAAAATTAGTTGGAAAAAGTAGGGGTATTATGGTATTTTTACTGGGCTAGGTGAAGCAAAAACAGAAATGGAAATTTCAGTTTTGGGATGCCACATATGGAAAGTGAGACTCTAGTTCTGGGACGGAGGGAGTACTTTGTAACCACATATTAGTTTCACACTGGCTGCAACAACAATACATACCATAGGAAACTTATATGCTCAAACAACAACAAAGCCTTACCCCACTAGGTGGGGTCGATTACATGGATCAAACGACGCCATTGCACCCTGTCGTGTATTATATCTGTTGTGAGGTCTCCCTTGATCAATGCTTGCCAAGTCCTCTTAGGTCTACCTCTTCCTCCCGCCACATGCATATTCACCATTTGATCAATCCTTCTCACGGGATATTCTATTGGTCTTCTCTCCACATGTCCAAACCACCTAAGACGAGTTTCCACTATTTTTCCTACAATAGGTGCAACTCCAACTTTAGCTTTCATATCTTCATTCCTTATTCTATCCATACGCGTATGACCGCTCATCCAACGAAGCATCTTCATTTCCGCCACACTAACCTTGTGTTCATGTTCACCCTTTGCTGCCCAACACTCTGTCCCATACAATATAGCTGGTCTAATAGCAGTACGGTAAAATTTTCTCTTTAGTTTTAAAGGTACTTTTTGTATGGGACAATTGGTTAGCATTTGAATCCGTTAGCCAATTGGAGAATAGTTCGTCATCTGGCTCAAGCAGCCCACAAGAGTTTGAAAATCTTGGTTCATTATGTGCGAGTCCGGTTTAAAGTTCACATTATTATGATACACCTTTCAAGGATTTTGCCCGTTAATGATGTGTATTCAAGAACTCAATCGATACATCACAAGCCATTCAATCTACCTCACTTTGATGACGCAGAACTATTATTACACAATGAAGAACCAAGTACCTTTAGTGAAGCCAAAGAAGCAAAGAATGGAGTGCTGCAATGCAAGACGAATTGGACTCTATTGAACGGAATGGAACCTGGATGTTGGTTGAACTACCTAAAAGAATTATACCAATTGGTCTGAAGTGGTTATCCAAAAGGGATGTCAATGATAATATAATTCACTATAAAGCGAGACTCATTGCAAAGGGGTATGTACAAAAACATGGTATCGGCTACTACGAGGTGTTTGCTCCCGTTGCCCGAATGGAAACTGCCGGTTTGCTTCTATGAGTTCTATCCCTAGCTGCTTTAGATGGGTGGGAAGTTCATCATCTTGATGTGAAGATAGATTTCTTACATGGAGGCTTAAAGGAAGATGTATATGTATCACAACCAATGGGGTTTGAGCAGCAGGGCAAGGAACATCTAGTGTACAACCTAGTAAAAGGCTAAATGCTTTATATGGTTTGAAGTAAGCCGCATGAGCTTGGAATTCAAGTTAGATGCAATTCTACAACAACATGGTTTCAAGCGGTATCCACGCAACATGTTTTATATAAGCGAACCACGAAGAATGGACTATTAGTACTTGGAGTATACTTTGATGAGATTGTTAGGTTCAAAAGACAAATGAAAAATTGGTCTCAAATGAGTGCTTTGGGGCTTCTAACTTACTTTTTGCCGTTTTTGGGAATAGAGGTGAACCAGGACAAAAGTGGCAATACTTTGAAGCAAACAGAATATGCAAACATAGGTTCTTAAAATGAAAATTTGTGGGAGTGTAATCCTGCAAAGTTTCCTATTGACCTAGGTCTCAAGCTTAGAAAAGACGAGGAACTGGAGTCTGTCGATGCAACTGAGTACCGAAAGATGATTGAGTGTCTTTGATATCTTACCCACATGAGGCCAGATATCAGTTATGCAATTGGAATAACCAGGCAATTCATGGAGCTCTATTATTACAATGTCACCTAGGCGCCGACTAGGCGTTGAGGCACTGGAAGAGGGTCGCCATGGTTGTTCGCCTTGCCATATATTTCCTGGCGTTGCTTTGGTGTCAATTTGGCATCCAAGCGTCAGATAATGATGCCTAAGTTGTTTGACCTTTGATCAATTTTTTAAGTCGTCACCTTTTTTAACCCTAGCCGCTAAGTTCTACTTAGTATTAATAAAGGTTCAGTCGTACAAAAGAGGCAGCAGATTAAGTCTACTAAGGAAGGCGAGGAGGGCCTAACTGCTGCGTAGCGTAAGCTGCTTGAGGCGTCGCAACTCGCAAGGCGATCCAGTGAGTGAACGGTAACGTTTGCTTGAACCGATTGTTTTCTCCCTTTTCTAAGTTTTTATATCTATGGAGTTTAATACGAGTACTATCTTTAACAGATTAATGCTATCTTTTTAGTATTAAGTTTTTATATCTATCATTAACAATTTTTTTGGATATTATGGAGCATTCAACAGAACATGCATACATACATGCATGGATTGCATGCATCCATCCATCCATCCATGCATACATGCATACATCCATCCATCCATCCATCCATCCATACATCCATCCATCCATCCATCCATACATACATACATCCATCCATCCATCCATCCATCCACACACACACACACACACACACATACATACATACATACATATAGGTATGTATGTATGTATATTTTAACAACATTATTTTTATATTTAAATTCTAAGTGGTTGCCAAATTGTCGCCTAGGCATCCACTTAGCCAACTAGACGTCCTAGCAACCCATTGGAAACGTGCCTCACCTTGACGCCGTGATAACTATGTCATGGAGTCACCAAAAAAATCACATATGCAAGCTGTAAAACAGATTATGCAATATGTGAAGGGTACCATCAATTATGGGAACCAGTAAAGAAGGAACGGCAATGCAAATTTGGTTGGTTATAGTGATAGCTCACATACGATGGATTGAGCGG